ACACCATCCCCACCATAAACAATGTTGGTGCTGCACTGCTTCCCCCTCCTGAGACGCTGGATGTTGTACTATTTTAAGCTTTCTTTACGTGCTTTTGGAAAACAGGAGAATAGGAAGTTTGAACAGTTTTGAACAAAAAAAAAAGATTTGAACTGCAGGACTGATGAGCTAATAGATAATCTGAAAGCAGCTGAGAACAAAGTGGATTGCCGTTGTCTTTAAAGGGATTTAATCTAATAGAAATTCACAGCAAACATCAAATTATAACCATTTGATGCACCAGCACACTTTGTTATTTTGGCTGAAATATTTTTGAAATCTCTGTAGAAAACAAACCCTAGATGCATCAAATTGATACATCTCACTGGAACTGCTGTGAAGTTTTGGAGATTTATTTTTAGAACGGCACCAGAATGGTTTGGTTTTAGCAGCTGTTAGCTCATCACTGATGGACCGAGGTCATTCAGGAAGCCATCTGCAACAGGTAAGATATTTGTTTGTAACATCTACGCAGACATACTGAAGTACATAACTAAACTTTTGCTACCTTGGGTGTTTGTTCATTTTTTATAACAGCTAAGGTTAGCTTTAGCCATTTATTAAATCAACAACATTGTCAACATTTACGTTCTTTGATCCTGAATTTAAAAAGGGGAACAAATCAAAGTGTGATTTTTGTCATGCTGGACAGTTTATCAAATTGTCAGCATCTACACAGAACAACAGTTTTCTCAACAACAACAACATACTGCCAGAATAATTTAAATTAGCAGGACAAGCACAAAGTGTATGTCTGGTTGCAAACAGCTGAACATGACACGTTCCTACAGCTAGTCTCACCCTTAGCACACTTCATGATGATACAATTTATGCTAGTTTGTTGTTGTGTTGTTATCAATCAAGATTAGGCACTTTCAAGTTGAGATATTTGAATACTGTGTCTAATTTGAGTTCAGTCTCTACAGAAAGGTTTGTGATATTTTTATCCTGGATAAAACAATTCAAATCTTTGAACTTCTCATGTGCAGTTTGTGTTTATTATAAGTCACCACAACAATCCAGTCAGGTTACAACTCTAAACTGATTTCAGACACGTACAGGCAGAGTTTATTTAAATGGGTTTACCTTCACTTTCTCCCTTGTGATCTTGTGGAGGGGTTTCTGTTTGTGGGTCCTGTGATCCAGACTCCTTGGGGCTGATGCTGCTGCCTTTAGCTGCTAAAGGTGGAGCTGCCTCCGTATCTCCAGCTGTAGTTGGCGCATCCTCACTGCCAGGGCTGATAGACTCTTCCACGTCTTGATTTTTCATGTCTCGAACTGGAATAAAGAGGGGAAACTTATATTTTGTTTACAGAGTTAATAATACAAAAGAGTGCGTTATTTATCTGAAAATCAGCTTCTGCATGGCTGCTGTGACGCGATCGAAAAACAAAATTTTCTTGAATATTTCGATGGCTGCCAACAAGTAGGTGCACAGTAGTAGGTTTTAAACAAACCACAAATATCTAGAAATCTCATTATACCTCAAATTATTTCAAATGTTTCTATTAGCTTGTCCCAGGGCTTTCAGTTTACCTTAGGAGAAGGCTAACCCTTGTTAGCCGCTAGTGCGTGCAGCTAAAACTAGCATTCTGTCTTATTCAGAACTAGCTTGTGTAAATGTCAGACACGAGGAAAAATAAAGAAAACGTTGCTTGTTTCGAAATGTACACTTTCTTTTCACGGTTAATACAAATTTGTTTACCTTAGAGCCCAGGAAGTAATGTTTGTGAAAATGCAGGTTTCTTGAGCGTGAGGCTGGAAAAAATGTCACTTCCGGTGTTATGCAGAGAAACGCATGCCTGCCGAGATATGCATCCCCCGTCGCGGGAGCGCGCATCCATGCAACTTCCGCCCACCGATTAAGCGACCGACGAAAATAGTGCATGTGAAATTTATACGGACTGAAAACGGCAAACGAGACTACTTTTATAAATATTCGTGATGCTATAACGTTTCTTACACATGAAAGCCACGAAAAGTTTTTTTTTAATTGCAGATTAGTCCCCAAAGTGGGGGCCGCCAGGGCAGTGGCAGATCTAGGATTTTTCTGAGTAAGGGGCCATCAAGGGGCCACACTGTTCAAAGAGGGACCAATTTGTTCAACATCCTTGCACATAAATCCTCTGTTTTGTTAAGGTGTATAGATTTAACCGGTCACATATGTTCCAACAATTGTAACATAATGTAATGTTATTTAAAAAGCTTAAATTCTCCTTACCAATTTTACATGCATTTTTACTGTACATGGATAAAATATTCTCAAAGCATGTGAGAAAATGAAACCATTGTTTGCCAGTTGAAAGAAATTTTCTGCAAAATTGTTCAAGTCTTTTATAGAAGAGAAGAAGACTTCTGTAAGATTGGCCCTGTCCCAATACCCGCACCCCCACCCTCATTCCGCCCTTGTGCACTTCAAATGTGCGTTCATGTTGAAGGGTTTGAGTACGTAGTGTGTCCCACATTCTCCACATCTGCCCTTGGCCCTGGCCCTTTTGGGTGCTATTTCTGCCCTTCCACCAAGTCTGCATTTTATGGACTTTGGTGAAGTGTATTACCCACAATTCATTGCTGCCAAAACAGCGACCGTTTTTTAAAATAAACCTTTATTGAACATTTAAACATAGTATA